ACAAACCCAGATGAGGAAAGCAGTATTGCAAAAGTCGGCATAGGTGGCCGATTACTCGTCCGATTAATCAAAATCGGGTAGGGGCCGAGATGTCTAATTAGGAATCGGTCAAAAAACTCAGAATCGGTCAAACCCGGTCAAAATCAGTCGAATTCGGTTAAAATCGGAAAAAACTCGGAAATTTTGACTTTTTTTTTTAGAAAAAAAATCTATAATTGTTAGTAATATTAATCTATTTGTTATAATTTTTAATAAACTTGTTATATTTGTTATATATATAATTTTTTTAAAATTAATTTTATATAATTTATCCAATCCGAATACTCCCCAAGTACTCCCCGCCCAGACCGAATACTTGCCAGACGCTAGTCGGCCGCCCTGGGAACGCCTAACGAGTTTTGCAACATTGGAAGAAAGTATGGTTGGACATTGGAAGAAAGTGGAAAGGAGTCATGTACCGGAGAAAGAATAGTGAGAGGGGGAGGGAGTTGTCGAAGAAGTTAGAAGGTTGGAGGGGAAGGGTGGCCGAGGAACGTGAAGGTAAGAGGGGTGGGGTTGGCCCTTTGCAATTTAATAATAACAAAAAAAGTTAAATGAAATGAAATGGCTATAATAAGTGTAGTTAATGATCAAAATATTAATTTCCATTAAAACATGAACCTGAAACCAAAAACATAATGAAATCCGCTATATTTATTTATTTATTTATTATTTATTTATTATTTTTTTTTATCAAGGGACCTAAACCTCTAAACCAAAGAAAATTGGGAAACACAGGAACCATTTTTTTTGTTTACTGTAGGTTTATTGATTTATCTCAAACATAAGGTAGAAAAAGAAAGATAATGACAAAAGACTTGTTGATAGTTTATTCAAGAGAAAACCAAAACCGAAATCGATACTTTGGATCTTTCTTTAATAGAAGAGCTTTACTTATTTGAAACTTGAGAGAGGTGATGAGAAAACCGGGATACTTTGTGGGTGCCTAAAGAAATTATGTGGATCAACTTTGGCCTTGATTCGAATTAACTTCTTGAAATTGTCCCTCTTCCAGTACCTCTCCCCCCAAACACTTGCTTCCTCATAATTAGCATTTCCAACACCCAACTCAAGATCATTGTAGTTGAAATAGGCCTCTCTCGGGTGTTTTGACACATAAGGGGTCAATAACTCTTCCAAGCTTTGCAGCCAAGCTAACCTTGAGAGCGATGTAGGGGTTGTGTCTGACGTTTGACCGTCAAAATATACAGACTTGAAGACCTGTAACAGCACTCCAACTCTATGAGGATATGGAATTGCTGTCTCTGAGTAATCATTCATCCGTCCGCCAAAAGGATTTATCATCAAAAGCCCTGATTCGTCGTTTTCCATAACTTTACTCCAGATCTTTCTAAGCCCTGTTATGGGGATTGGTGTTCGGACATAGTCTGATTTACCTTTGAAGTTCAGCTTGGTTATGGCGGATCGGTTCGTGAGAATCTCGATCGGGGTGGAGCTTGGCAAGCCCCAAAACACAAGTGTCGACTGGACACTAGTCATTTCTTCACAAATCTCTTTTCTGACACCGAGCTCCGGAAAATTTTCGTCCAAAACTAGAAGCAATGTGTCACTTGGGCCCTGATAGATTCCTTCAAACAAAATTCGGATGGTTTTCATGGTACTGTTGCCGATATATTCGCTAAACACCTGAGTTCTTATGTGCAAATTTCTATCAAAAGTTGATGCGATGTATTGATATTTATAGAAAATTTCAGTTACACCTTCTTCCAAAGTTTTGTTCAGTAGAAAGACGGTTACTTTTTCTGGAACCGGAACCAACCTCAGTTTCCATGCAAGAACAATTCCAAAACTGGAAGCACCACCTCCTCGAATCGCCCAAAACAAATCTTCACCCATCATCTTCCTGTTGAGAATGTTTCCATTTACATCCATGAAGCGAACATCCAAAGCATTATCAGCAGCAAGACCGTATTTCCTCAATAGGTTTCCATAGCCACCACCGCCTATGTACCCGCCAACACCCACAGTGGGGCAAACACCTCCAGGGAAATACAAGGTGTTGGTTTTCTGAGAAATAGCGTAATAGAGTTCACCAAGCGTAGCGCCTGCCTGGACCCACACGGTGCTGTTTGCTACATCCACATCTATAGACCTCATGTTGGTGAAATCAATCATAACAAACGGCACATCAGCTGTGTACGAGAGGGCCTCAAAGTCATGACCACCACTCCTGATCCTGATCTCGTAGCCATGTTTCTTGGCACAATAGAGAGCTGTTTGGATGAGTGTTTCATTCATAGGTGTCACAATGACCGATGGTTTTGGAGTGGAAGGTTTAAGGAACCTAGTGTTTTGGACTGCAACTTGCCAAATGGGTAGGAAAGAAGCATTGACAGGGGTGAAAATGAGTTGAGAGTCAGAAGTGAAATTGTTGGAGTTGGATTCTATGCAGCTGATGAAATCTTCAGAACCTGGTGTAACTTCAAGAATGGAAGATAAGGTAGCCCGGGAAACAGAGAAGTAGAGACTTAGAATGAAGAGAAAGACAGATGAATTTAGAAGAGACGCCATCATGTTTTAATCAATGAGTTTGATTTTATGGTCCTTCGTTCCCATAGTTATATGGAGTGAAAGTGGGTGACTGCAGAACTTTAGTTTGCACAAATGTGGGGTTGTGGCACGCCCTACCTCCTCACCAACCTTATATACATGTTTGTGGTTATGCTTATTTTGTGTATAACTTGAAATCAACTTTAGACTACTAGGACTAGGCAACGTCCACTCACATTATTATCTAAAAACACCTAAAACGGGAGATAACACCAAAGCAAATAATTTTTTCCTCTTTTTCTCTCTATATCTCTCATCTTAACACCATGTTATAACATTTAATAACATGGGGAACACCACCCCCACTTCATGTAATAACATGAAACACCGTTGCCCACACCCAATAACCTTATACACATAGAGTTTACATTTGCAGCCCTTTAACTATCATTATACTTATATTTATATAATTTCTATTTTCAGTTTTTATTTTATTTCTTTATAATAATTTATGCATATACTCATTTGTTTAAAATCTACAGAACCTGATGTAACCTCAACTACTCAAGAGTGGAAGATAAGGCAACCCAGGAAACATAAAAGGAAAGAGTTAGAACAAAGAGGAAGACAGAATTTAGAAGAGACGTGTTCATCTTTTGGTGAGTTTGAACCATATTTATATAGAATAACTCAGTTAAGAGCGGAGAGGTGACTGAATGTGGGGCTTTAAATAGGTGAATGAAATAGGAATGGCTCTCTTTAATTTGGTTGGCACTCTTTGAAATGGACTGATTGACATGGGAGCAGTTATATATATATATATATATATATATATATATATATATATATATACTAGTAGTGTACCCGCGCGATGCAGCGGCAGAAATAGTTTCTTTTGTCCATTAGTTTCCAACGACGATTATGTTGTTTTGGTAGGATTTTTTCAGAAATAATATTTTTCTACGGTTAGTTTTACTTTCAGTAATCATATATATTCTTTTTAGAAAATGGTTTATTTTCAATGATTAATTTCTTTTAGCATAACATGTCCCTATTTGCGGTATAGGTGAGCATAATAACCTAAAAAAAATTGCGTCCGAACTAAACAAATCATTTTCAAAATAGATAATGCAATTTCTATTTTTTCTTAACTATGTATGACTTCGATTTCACATATTAAGTGAAAACATACACAGCATTAACATAACTATTATTATTATTAAAATATATAAATTACAAGTATATATGCATGAAATTCTAAGGATATAACACTGAATACATGAACTGCTTCGTTTGAACTTCAATAAATTTGTGTACTAAATAATTTCAAGTTTTATTTTATTTTATTTTGAAATGTTAGTTTGATTCAAATCAGTAACTTTCATTTGTGGTTTTATAATTGAGCTTTCAATCAACAAATTAAAAACTAATTTGTTACATTTAAAAAGAATTGACATTAAATTATAGATCAAATTAGAAACCTGTATACAATAGATGACGAATACGTAGACAGTATATTGTTTTTCTTTTCGACGATTAATTATCCTTCAATATGTTGCACGGTTTCGTTTAAGGCCGAGTTCAATATAATTTATCATTTCATTCATTTCCTTTTCCTTCTTTTAAAGATCACACAATGCAACAAATATCATTTCTTAATAAAATATATTTATAATGTGTCTATCAACAAAATAAAGCTAATCATAAATCATTATTATAAGTCTACAACAAAACACGTATATTAAATGGGTAAGAATATTTCATTTATTAAAAAAATAATCAATTCCATTAGGAAAAATCGAATTTATCACTTGTATAATAAAATAGATGTTTTTTTTTCAAAATATGGACTCCACAACAAATGATTTTAACATATATCAAGTTATATATATATATATATATATATATATATATATATATATATATATATATATATATATATATATATATATATATATATAAAGGGTTACTATGACTATATATGTTATCATCATTTCAATCATTTTATAATTTTAGTAGGTTTCACAAAAACCAACATGATATTTGAATTATGCAAACAAATTTTTTAAATGTTTATGGTCATTTTTGAGATTCAAAATTTAATTACTTGTAATGAGCTTTTGTATATTTAACTTCATCTTTTCAAGCATAACAAAAATCACCTCATGTTCATATATTTTTTTGATCGTTTTAATGTGAATCAAATGTGTAATGTTTTCTTTTACTTTTCTTCACGTTATACTTTTTAGAAAATTAGTATGATTTATTTGAAAAAATTTAGCGTTAAATCCTGAAATGATAATTAATACAGTTAATTACTTAATCCTGTTAAATGTTATGTAGTGTTAAAGCTTGAAATGATAAAAAACAAAACATTAGCTATATCAAAAAATAATAATAATAATAATGTCAAGAATATATAAACCGAAACCTTTTTAATTGTTTAAAAAAATGCCTACGTAGTATTAATTTGAACACTTTAAAAACATCCCTTGCTTTATATACATATTTAACAAATCGTTGATTTGCTTAACAATGAATAAAGTTACCAAATACCAAATAAACAACTATTAAACATATAAAAACTATAAAATGATTGAGCCCAAACAAAACCCGCTTAACCCACCAGATATGAGTAAGCCCAAATAAATTGACATGTGCCCTATTTTTTTCCTGTGTTTTTCCTATCAAACCAAAAGTCACGCCTCTTTCTCTTCTATTCTTCTTGGTTCGAATATTGTAGATCAGGTGGTGGTTCTCGGGGTTTTCAGTGGGTTGGGTTTCACGATGGTGTAGTTAATGATGCGAGTAGAAGGTCACGGTAAGTACTTGTCCGTGAAGCAGAGAGAAGGACAGTCTATTGGTTAGATGATTTAGGGTGTTCGAAACGGTTGAAGTGGAGGTTTTCAGTGTTGGTTGTGATAATGCAACTGATTCGGTGGTATACAGAAAATTACCTCTCCAATGAAGCATTTTGCTAAAGATATATTTAAATACAAAATAGATTTGAAACTTTTGCTCAATATTTATACAATAAATCTTAGATCTGAACTTTTTCTTACGATCTGTAAAAATAAAACATAGATCTGAAAAGGATAGTTTTTTTTTGAATATATACCTCAAATATTGGCTCATTCTTGTTGTCATATTCTTCGCGATAATAAATACATACAAGTCTGCACATAAATAATTTCAAATTCATCAGAATCACAAAATATCTACAAATTCATCAAAAAAGAAAGAAATCTAAGCGTATAAGTGTCCTTCTCCAGATCTGAGAAAGATGTGGCAGTGAGTGGTGATGGTCGTATTCATAGTTGTGGGTGGTGGCTATGTAATCAGCAACGAAAGTTGTGGTGGAGGGGAAGAGAAATGATGATCTGTGTGGTGGTAAGGGAGGAAGAGCTTTGACAGAGCTAGGGTAGTTCACATTTGAATTTGATGGGTTGTTTTTTATTATATTATATTTGAAACGTGGGTGGGAGAAATTGACGGGAATAAAAGGATTTCCATTGGATCACTTTATCTTTGTTAACTAATTTTCATCCGTTGTATCACAAAATCTATTTGGCAATCCGTGTGAAAAGCATGATAACAATTTTTCATTACATCCTTATATTCTCTTGTATCAGCTGGTTATACCATGTGCTCAAAAATCAGTACCTCTTAATTTAAGATATAAGCTTTATCTTGTTGTATATTAGGCTTGATAACTTGTATTTAAGACATATTATGTATGTATTACTTCCTCCGTCCCAAAAATTATAGTCCATCTTTCCTTTTTGATTTGTCTCAAAATAATAGTCCACTTTTAAAAATAAATAACATATTTACCAAAATACCCCCTTATCATTACTTAACCAACTAAGCATTTAATGGAACATTAAATGCAAAGTAAGAACAAAACTGTCATTTTATTATATAAAGTTAGTGATAATTAATGTTTTTCTTAATCTGTGTGTTTTTTGTCTGTGGACAATAATATTGGGACGGAGGGAGTATAATATAGTATAGATATATATTAGCCGTTTACCCGCGCCAAGCGACGGGTGTGCAATGGTGGTTGAATGCTGAAAGATGAATTAAACCCTAGAAATGGAAACGTCAGCGATATATATATCCAAGATTTGTGAACAGAAATTGCGAGATTTGGGGAAATACGGAGATAAGGAATGAACCGGGTCAAAATAGCCTAAGAATAGGGGATAAGAGATTTGACCTTTTCAACTGTTGATCATATGTACTCTACTTTTTTTGTAATGCATAAATTGATTGTACAAATGCATTGTATGTTTGTACGACTTAAAATTCAGCATTTGACCAAAAATGCTTTATAAGGTAATTAAGATATATATATATATACACACACACATTAGGTGTGTACTCGCGCTAAGCGGTGGCGGTGGCGGATAATTCCTTATAGTTTTAACATGTGAACTTTGTATAACGCCAATTTTTCGGGAAATTGTCAGAAAAATTCCAATATATTTGGAAACGTTACACTTTAGTCCCAAAAAATTTTAACATAAAAGTCTTGGTTATTTCATTTTGGCTTGGATTTACAATTTTTTTTTTCTTGTAACAGGAAAATACATATTATTGTGTTTTTACAAAATAACCAGGACTTTTATGTTAAAAAAAAATATTGTGACTAAAGTGTAACTTTTCTGATAATACTGAGACTTTTCTGACAATTTCTTTTTTTTTCTAGATGCAAAAAATAGCAATATAATTTATTTATTTATTTACTACAAAATCATGTTCTTTTTTTTCTTTACCGTGTAACTTAAAATTTTTCTTATTAAAAACAGTTCTAGAAAACTGAATATTCGATATTTATTATGCTATGAAAAGCTTCACTTCTCGCTCATTTTCAGGTAAGGGTGTTCAAAACCATATTTTTGAAATTTTAGATATCTAAAATTTTATGATAATGGATATTGATATCCAAATCCGTATCTGACTTTTTGGATATCTAAAATTTCGGTTGCAGATTAATATGAATTAGAATATCTTATTTTTTTCGTTCCGATTAATCATTTTAAAAAATAAGCAACATATACCAATAGCATACAAAAAGGTCATTTTAGTTGTCCAAATGGTCATATTTGTTGTCAAAAAGTCTTTTTCCGATGAAAATGGTCACTTGCTATTAAAATATAATCTAGTAAAAATGGTCATTTTTTACGGTATAGTCTATGTATCTGATTAGTTAAAACTTCGTTACCCTTTAGCCTATCGATATCAACGTTATCGGGTTTTGCCCTTTCTTTTTTTGAAGTCCATGGTTCAAGTTATGTTGGAGACATAAGATGAAAATAGGAAAATTAAGAGTATATTATATTTACCGTTCCAACAACATATGTTTGTTATGCTCCTCTTCATAAAGCTACAAAATTACTATTTAAATAATATTATATTAACTGCGTAAAAGTTCTAGAAAATCTTGTGCTAATATAGGTTTTATATGGGTATGGTTCTCAAGTAGAATCATTGCCAATCGAAAATCCACAAGTTGAATTATGATGTTTTTTATGTAATCCTAAAATATGTTACTTGGTGAATTGTTAAATCATTCACATTGTTTTAATGAGATCGCTTAACATCACTAAGTGGTAACAACATATGACTAAATACTTTAAGTGCTTTCAAATTCCCATTAAATGCACTCTAAAATGATTTTAGTAAAAACAATGGCTAGTAAATATATAATATGCAAATAAGTTGTTGCTTGCTTAGGATGGACGTATTACTAACAATGATGATATGAAAATAAATAGCCAAATGCAAGAAATAGCATTGTATCATCCTATTTTCCTTTCTTTTCTTCCTATGACAATATTATACCTTAGAAAATCTATTAGATGCAAAGAAATTCTCACACACTATAATTGGATAGATTTGTCAAAATACATTGGCCTAATAAGTAATAAAAGGTACAGTTCATTGCTATAAAGGAGTCGATTCTTCAAAGTAAATTGACTTGACATATTCATACCTCAAAGTGATTGACATATTCATACCTCAAAGTGGTGGATGGTGTGAGTTTGTCTTAGGTGCTAGGGAGATCTGAAAAACTAAGATTGGAATGAAAATGGATATTGGATTAAAATGGTATCCTTTTCCAATTTTATATGTTTATACCTAAAAGGTCCATTGAGCAAAACAGAATACAAGTTTAATGGTTGTGTTTGAGGAAACTCCATTATCACAAAGCTTTGCTCATAATGGAATTTTTTTTTTTTTATAGAATCATACTTTTTCTTTATATAACATGATTATAATTTTAATTCTTTTCATTGTTCTTTCTTAGGCTAACGTAAGAAATAGCAGGAGACTTCCATTATTGACTTTTTTTTAAATCGTGTTATTTTTTTATTTTATGTCCGATTTTCTTTTCTATTACAATAGTGAAATTTAATAATTTCAACAGTACAATCTCATTTTTTTTACTTATTCATGCGTTAAACATTGAAAATTGTACCCATTTAGAGTAGTAACTATTTGAAGCAAAAAACAAAACATTTTTAGCACCAGTCGGTCAAGAACCAGAGCAGCCAAATGAAACATGTAATGAATGAGGCAATCAGGTTCCAATTACAGAATTTAAAACACAGGAGCATACCTAATGAGCTTTTACTATTACTATTAGCAACAAATCATCTTACTTTTCCTTGTTTGTACCATGAATCTATGATCCAGCTTTAGTTATTCCCTGTTAAATGTCGAGAACATGGAAATATTATAGATACTAATTTCTACCTAATCAACAAAAAAAATTAACTTCGATGTCATGGTCTAGTTTAAAAAGTTGATATATCATAAGTGAGTAAGTACCACATCTATAGGAAAGAGCATAAAGAAAAAAAATCGAAACTAAAAAACAACCTGGGATAAATTTCTATAAAAAGATAGCAAAAAGAAAGATTTCGTAATGCTCATACTCACCTCTTGTTTTCTCTCAGGCATTTCTACAAACACTTTATGCGCACTTTCCTTGAGCACGTTAATACCTTTTACTTCTTAATTTTCAGCGTTACTCCTATTAAATAACTCCTTTGAAACCTATGTAGTTCAATCCGACCACAACCATTTTAGAAGAAAAATGATATGAAAACAAGAGTAAAGGAGGAATACAACTTGACGGATGTTAGAACCTTTACTAAATGTATAACGACACTATAAAATCAGCCCAAGGGTACAAACACCTATTGCAAGCATCCATGTCAAGGTAGAATCATGGAAAGATACACCCAACTTGGTTTAAATAAAAACTTATTATTTTGCATGTCTTGCAGATTTAAATAAAAATTTTAGTTTTTTAGCATGATAGAAGAACCTAGAAAAAATAGACATAGATCAATCCAACATATTGAAAACCAAGAAATTGAAGTTTCCCAGCCACAAGAAATAGAAATCTCTGACTTGAAAACTTTATCCAAACCATAAAAAAATACCCACACAAACATATTGCATTAGAATACTAAGAACATAGTGACAGAGGGAGGGGTTACCTAGACACACACACATACACACATATAGAGATGACTCTTTAAGAAGGGAAAAAATTGAAGCAGCAAAATAAAACATACAGATCAAATCAAAGCGTCTTCCTCCAGGTCATATGCGTCGTTCGTCTTAAAATACTCAACTTGTTCATCGATCTGTATATTGACACAAAAAAAATGAAAAATAGACTTCAAATCAAAAATCAAAGCCACCCATAAACAAAAAACAGCAAATAATAAAAACTAAGTTCAACGAACACGAAAAAGATGACAACACTATCCAGAGAGAGAAAAGGAGAGCGAGGACAGAGAATGGATATCAGGGGAATAAGGGAATGTGGGAAGTGAATGGCTAAGTGAAAGGAATTTATCCTGGTTACGGATATTTAGAGAAAGGGCGAAAGCTGGGGGAAAACATCGGAGAGATATGTGATGGTAAGGTGGGAGACGGCGACGGTTTAGGGTTTGTAGAGAGAAGATGTGGAAGTGAATGGCTAAGTGAGTGAGCTCTGGATTTAATTTTGGGCCATGAGGGAAAATGAAAGTGATGGCATCGGTTCCTTAGTAAGAGGAAGCATGAGATGTTTGTACATGTTGCAATAAAAACGATACCTCTTAAAATTCAAAAAAATTGAATATGTTTTATATATATATATATATATATATATATATATATATATATATATATATATGAGAGAGAGAGAAAAAAAATTCATTGATTTAGCATAGTAACTTTGTATTATTATTTTGTGTTAACATATAGAAATCATTATATATTATGGTTACATATTTATTTTTACCTTAAATTACTATATATAAATAATGTAGAAATTGACTTTTATCCACAATAATTATTTTTCGATCTCAAAACCTAAAAATTTATATGGGTTGAATATACATATGACATTGAAGAAACTAAATTTTGAATAGAAATTCAAGCGTTAGCTAAACCCCAAAATTCTAGCAAAA